TTGATAAATATAATTTCTAAAGTTTTCAAATCTAAAAATAATTAATAATTTTTTTAAAATAATAAAATATATAAAAGAATCAAAATAAAATAAGGAATCAAACTCTTAAAAATATAACCATGACATTATTCTCTAACACTAAAAAAAATAAAAATTTAGGAAAAGTCTCTCCAAATCTCTCAGTTTTAAACTTAAATGAGTATTTATCAGATTAAAAAAAACTTAATTAAAATAATTGTGGGATCCACATAGAAATAATAACACCGGTGCAGATTGACTGAAAGTCACGTAAGGGTCAACACCCTCAAGATGCCGATTGCCGACAACTTTAGTAAAGCGCCGAATTCTCCACGTTGGGGTTTTGGCCCTTTAAGCAAGTTTTGTTAATGGCAAAATAGCAGTCCTAGTCCCTAGCTTCTAGATTCTGCGCAACTTAATCATCACGTTTCTGATCTGTACCATTTGCTCCTAAAAATTATGATTTCTTCCAATTAAATCATTTTTTACACAAAAAATAAAAATTATATAAAATAAATAAAATATCATAAAGCTCATCTAATTATCAATAATATCAAGATAAAAATTTCACATTAATATACATATAAATTTAACTCATCATAATTCTCTCTATTTAATTATCAAATCGAAAATGAATATTTATAAAATTACTTATATAAAAATATAATTCTTAAATCTATAATTTCACAAATATTAATAATTAATTTTACTGCACTTTAAATATATATTTCCATCGCTTAAAATTCCAATTGAAGTCCCTTTGTCCCTGTAGTTATTTAAATGCTTTCCTGAACGAGTTATCATATTTCTGTAAAATTTCTAACAAAAGTGCAAAAATGATCAGAGTTATATAAATTACTTGGATCTGTCCAATTCCGTGTTTCGATTTGTTCATTAACTTTATTTGACTTATGGATCAGAAGGCATTGCAAACTTGTCTTTTCTTTCATGCTCAGTTCCTACTAGAATTTCTTCCAAGGATCAAAATCACGAATCAGAGGACCTTTGCTTCCCAATCACTGTCAATGATATCTCTTGAACAAAATTAATGTCAATAATCTCAGAATATCATTCTATTTTTCTGGATCACTTTTGTTTTTTCCAGCAATCTTGGCGCCTTCAGCATATTGGATTCCAGGATCGATCTTCTCATTGACATTTTTCTTTCAAACAGGGTCCTAGACAACAAACGGTCACAGCTAAGCAGAAGCTGCTCCTCAATGGAAGTTACTAATTAAACAAAATTATGTTGTCAGCTGCACAATCTGTTTTTGGTCTTCATCATCATTCCTGATGTCATATTGTAGAGAATGATCCAGATACAGGTACATGATCGTCAGATCAGATATAGAAACTCCTTCAGTATATATAGGTGCTTCATATATTTTTCTTTTACCTCAAGTCCCTTCATTTTGAAAGGTCCAAGAGCCATGTCCACAAACTCAGAGAGGTTAATTGTTCTAGAAGTACCAAATTTCAGTTTGATAGAGCGCAATGAAGAGTCCATGTAACAAAGGTTGAAGTTAATTGACTCTTGAGACACAAATTCCAAACAAACTTCTTAAACTCGGATTATAAATCTTGCAGCGAATTAACTCTAGTGTGTGCCCCAATTCCTTATTGTTAAACGGGGAATTTGCGTAATTTTGAGTAAACATACATGATTCGAGGTTGCCACTTGCCAACTTGGCTCAAAGCGTTGTTAGGCCTTTGAGGGCTTTCGCCACAGGTGGCTTGTTTCATATCTCTAAGATGTGAACAACTTGAACTTTTTAGTTGTTCTGTAGCTAGTTCTCTGATGCAGAGAATTTAAAGAAAAGCAAATAGGGTCAAAACAGAGGAGAAACTGGGGAGTCACGTAGGACTTCAACAAACAATTGGTATGCACAATGAAGGATGTAAGAAGAAATGCACAATTAATGGAACACACAACACTGGAAGCCACTATTAAAAACTGGTACAGGAAATTGTTCTTCAGTCAGCAAAGCTCCTAGCTTAGATACTCAAGTCTTTTTAACAAATACATAAACAGAACCGTTTTGGTAATAACTTAAACAAACACAATACATAGGCACACCGAATGGATGCTTAAAGACATGGAGTAGTCACGTCCATTCAAAATACAGAAAAAAAAAAAAAAACACTTTTATTTTTTCCAGTTATCGTGCGTGTGATTCTCAACTTAACACAATTTGGTACAGAGCAACTTAGGTAGACTTAATCTGCCTGTTCTGGTTGGCAATCAGTTCACTGTGATAAAAGGAAAAATAAAAAATACTTTAACATCATGATCAAAATTTTTGAAACACAATTTTTATATATTTATGTATAGCTATTCAATCGCTGTGTTTCTTTTCTTTTTTTTTTTTTTTTTTTTTGATGTTTATTCCTATATACATTTAAGAAAAATGCAGAACAATAATTTAGTGGCCTAGGCCACTATTGACTCATTTTTATTTTTTCTTCATATCAAAGATTTAGGTGTAATTTCCATTTTTATTTATTTTACCTATAAAAAAAAAAAAAAAAAAAGAGAAAGGTATAAATCCAATAAAAATCCTTGAACTTGTCTAAAATGCACCTTGGTATTCCTAGAGAATTATTAAAATCCTCCAACTTTAAACAAAAGGCAAACCACCATCCTCCCGTCAACGAAGCCAACGGAAATGCTGACATAAGTACGAGGAATGAACACAGATAAATATTAAATATTTGTTTGACAGTTTCTTAGTATTTTAATTTTTAGTTTTTATTTAATTTATTATTTAAAAAATATATAAAATATTAATCAAAATAAATATTAAATACATTAAATATATTTTATATTTTTTAAAGATATTATTAAAAGATTAAAAAACTAACTGTGGTTATAGATCAATGCTTACAAACTAAACCTAAGTTATAATTAGATTTTAAATATTGATTTAGTATTTTGATATTAAAGATTAACAGTTTGCCATTGTACCATCCATCATTGTCTTATTCCTCCCAAAAAACGAATGGAAATTTCCTTTCTGATTTTAGTAAAAAAGAGGCGGGGAGAGAACCCCAAAAGATGAGGAAAGAGACCGGTAAAGAGGAGGAAACAGTGATAATTTCGATCAACTAGATAACGGCTGAAAATTCGAAGCTTCTTTTCTTTTCTTTTCTTTTTTTTCAAAATTCCAAAGCTTGGTACTGATATTCTGGTTAGAATTCTAAACCTTAAGAGAAAGGAAAGAAAGAACTAATAAATTATTGATTCAAGTGCAAAGAATTTAGATTTTTTAAAATAAAATCTCAAATTTAAATTTTATAAATAAAAATCAAGTGTTAAGAGAGTTTGGGATCCAATACAACTCTACATTTAATTAATTAAAATCTAATGCGATTCTAAGCATGGAAGGGTTAATGCCAAAAAAAAAAAAGATAGAAAAGAAAGAGGGAGGAAAGAAAAACAACACTTTTATTTTTTATTTATAGTTTGTCTAATCTATGCTTTAAGTTTGAATCTTGGATGTTAAGACCAAATAATTTGATAATAAAAGTAATTTAATGTAACATACTTACAGTTACACTGCCACAGGTATAGTGGTTAAGGCCTTCGTAGCATTCGAGGTGGTGAGTTCGAACTTTATTGTTGACATTTTGTAACAAAATTTTGTCCAACCATTGAACCGAACTGCTCACACGGTTCATCAATTCTTCCAATTTTATTGGTTACTCCGATTTTGAGCAGTTTTAACTACTTAAATGGTTTTATGTATCTAATCAAACTGAATTTATAATTATATACCAATTTAGCCAATCAAACCGACCAGTCTAGTTTTCAAAACCCTAAATGGGTGTAAACTCAAAAAGTCTAAAACTTATGTTAAAAAAAAAAGATAAAGTAGAAAAACTTATGTTAAAAAGAAAAATAAAGTAGTCTAAGAGCTTTAAGGAAAACAAAATAATAATAGTAATTTATAAGAGGCATAACCATTAATCCAACCCTTAAAACCCAACCCAAAAATATAGAAATAAATTATTCTTTTAAATTATATATTAAAATAAATTATCTATTTTTTTAAAAAATGGTTTCATGACAAACATAATTCTAATGTCATATGTTAAAAACTAAATAATTTATGTTAATTTATAATTTAAAAATAAAATTTATTCTTCTATTATTTTAGAAACAAATCTATCTCTACTCCTACTTAAAGCGTGGATTTGAAATTATTACCTTTCGATAAAAAAGTGTTCTTCCGTTAAATCTTTAAAAAATCAAAATATTTTCATTTTAAAATAATATAATAATAGATATTATTTTATTTTTAAATTAAAAATTTAAAAATAATTTTTAGCACTACTTATTTTATTTTTTAAAAATAAAATAATCTTTTGAAACAAATTTTAAATAGAAAATAAAATTATTTGTCTTTTATATAATATTTTATTAAGACAACATAAATTTAAGATATATTTTTTCTCTTAATTTTTCAAAAGGAAAGTGGTATATGACGATATTTCTCTTGATGCTTTTTATTATTTTTTATATAATTTTAAATTTTATTTTTATGTAACTTTATACATAATTAAATAATTAACTTGTTTTATTTATATGAAATTTGTAATATTATATATATTTATTTATTTAATAATATATAAAAATTATATAAAAAATAAAAAAAATTATATCTATCTCACCACCCTTTTCAAAAATCCAATCAATAAAACATTAATTACGCGCTCAAATAGCCGCCCAGATCACAAGTTCACGTTACCAAGCTCGGCAGCATCTGAGTTTTCTAACCTCCTCAAAGCTTATAAATACTTTTGAGCTTAAAGTCAAGTTCATGCTCAAACTCGGTTGTCATTCAAGCCTGAGTTCAGGTAATTCTTACTCATTTATTCTATATATTATCAATTTAATCCCTCTTTATATGTAACTTTCTTCACTTAAATTCCTAGTATGATTATTTTGATTTTTAATTTTTTTTGTTAGTTTTTAAAATTTAAATAATTAAAATTTAAAATTAAAATTACCAACATGCTAGATATAAAATTTTTAAAAAAATGTAAATAACTTTAAATTTAATTAATTTATACAAAATTTTTAATGTTATTATAGACTTTTAATTTTTTTAAATTAAAATTAAAAGCTTAAAATCACAATTATACTAAACAAAACTTTAATTTTTAATCTATAACATTGAAATTTAATTGTTTATTTTTTAATACATATTTTTTATTTTACGTTTGTTTTAGAAAAGATAATTATAACATATACTATCTTTGTTTAACTTTAATATTTTTAATTTATAATATTTAAATTTAGTTATTTATTTTTTATTTCATTTAATACGTTTATTATTATTTTATATTTATTCTAAAATAATAATCATAATCTAAATTAAATAAAAATATTTATTTAAATAATATTTAATTAAAAATAAATATAAAATTTTATTAATAGATTATTATATATGTATTTCATAAAAATAATTAAATTTATTAAAATTGAACAAATAAAATATTAAATAAATAACTTATTTGAATATTAATTAATTATGAATAAATATAAATTTTATTACTTAAATATTAGATTTTTATTTTATTAAAAAAATAAGCATGCTAATAGTTAAATCGAGAGCATTAAATTGTTACACCCTCCATTCAAAATTAGGTGTTTATTTTTTAAAAAACTTTTCCCTTGCAATTTTGGAGAATTTCTAAATGGGATGTTATTAAAATAGGAGGGAAATCGGTAGGTTTAAGGAATATGTTGGTGAAGAGGTTTAGATGGGAGGCAGGAGATGGCAACTGGGTGGGAGTTCTGGAGAGAGATCTGTGCCAGGGATAAATCTTTAAGGGATTTATGTCCTAGATTATTCATGTTGGCAGTAAATAAAGAGGGTTTGATTAGTGAGATGGGAGAATAGGAAGCGAATAGGTGGCGATGGAATATGAAAGGAGAAGGACGACGTTGCGAGTGAGATGAGGAGGAGGTGTTCTGGGAGGTGCTAGGTTGTGTACAGTTGAAAGGAAAAGAAGATCGTTGGTGGTGAGTGCATGGCTTAGAAGGAAGATATGTGGTGAAGAAATCTTATGAGTTTTTAGCTCCTATGGAGTACCTTCTCGAGGACCAATTTTGCAAGATGATTTGGTGCAGGTTAATGCCGCTAAAAGCTGCTTTTTTTAAGTGGTGATTGTGACTTGATAATCCTTTCGACAAAGTGAAATTTGCAAAAATAAAAAAAAGGGGTTGATGTGTTGTTTGTGTAAGGAGGTGATGTAGGAGGCCAACCTTTTTTTTTTTTTTTTTTGATACAGAAAATGATTAGCTGTTAATGTTAGTATCTGTTTTAATCTATGTTAAACGAATTAAACGGGTGATCTGCACTTTACTCCTTAAAGGAAGAGCAGTACCCAACCAGTGCACCGCGTAGTGGAGTTCAGGAGGCCAACCATTTAACTTGTACGTGTAAAGAAGGCTTGGTTAGTTTTGATAAATGTGCTATATTGGTGGGGTATAGAGTTTGTGTTGTCAAATACAACGGGGTGGAGTCGTAGAAGTTTTTATTCATGGTTTGGGCAGGATAGTAGGAAGGAGATGGGAGCGTGTATCTTTCTTGTTGTCTCTTGGTATATATGGTATCGGAAGAATATTAAGAGTTTTTAAGAATATTGAGAGT